CTGATTTTTTTACCTTAACCCCTTTCTCTTTTACTTTGCACCTTTGAATTGCTTATTCTAAAAGATCCTCAAAGTTGTTAGAAACCTTAAATGAACAATCTGGGGTTCCGTTTTGGTTTATCTAAGGAATCACCTTATAGGTCCACTTCTCATTCGGGGGCCACTGTGGCTGGACGTATCCCAGTGTAACCAATTCGGCTGTGAGTATTTTTTAACGTGATTTTTCAAGCGAAAATGAGACAACTGAAAGCCCAACACTCTGTTTTTCTTCTCATGTAATCCCCATGACGAGAGATTATTTGGTGATAGCTTTACAGATAGAACTTGATTATCTTGAATTAAGGATTATAAAGGGTTAGAACCTCTAATAATGAGAGATTGTTCATTCTTAGCTTTCTTGACCAGTATTTGGTCTTCTTCTATGCCCCTCTTATTTGAGTAAGACTCAACTTTCCCAAGGGAAACTTTATCTCTTGTTATCGCTTCATTCATTGTGGGGCCAGTGGAACCTTCTACAATTACAGTTTCAACACTAACATTCATATTCTCATCCAAAATGGTATCCTCTAGTGGCTCTTATCCATGTATCATAACATTCACCTTGTCCATTAATTTGGTCATTTGTTCTTTTAAATCATCCTGAAACTTTTTTGCTTGATCAATCATTTCTTGTTGAATCTTGATAAGTTGCTCTTGAAGTTTATCAATTCTACCAACCCTTTCTACAATCTCATTTATGGCTCTTATCATTCTCTAGGAAGACCAATTTAACTCCAATTTGATTTCAAAAATTCTGTCATGGAATCCTCCATGAATTATTCACATATTTTCATGATTTAATGCATGTAAAATAGTTTGAAACAAAATGCAAATGCATGATGTAAGATTGAAACTATAAATATAACTATGCAAAGATACGAATGCAAACGCAAATGTAAAAGGTATCGATTTCTAAAAGTAATCATTCTTACAAAGAGTTTCATTCTTCCAAAAGAACTTTCATCTTTATAAGAAAGATCAATCTATGAATGCAGTTTGGCCTTTTTATTTAGCTTCATGATCTCAGCCATGATCCCAATAACTTTATCCTTTTTCCAGAAATGACTCTGAATCCAGATGGTAAGTAGTTGAGCGCAGCCTCTAAATTGGCTTTCCTCTAATCTATGGTAATCATTTAGGGATCAAAAAGTCTCTGCCAAGATAGCCAGTACATGTTTTATACCTTTCTCCAATCTGTCCAAAAGATCTACAATAACAACCTCAACGTGTAGCAAAGTCTTTAGAAATATCACTAGACCATACATGGCAAGATCAAATGTGTTCAATCTCTTATCTTCATCTATATGCTCAAGTATCACCTTCTTGAGACAATGCCAAGGAAAACATTCATTTTCTCCCTTTTGTTGAATGTGCTCTACTATCCAATTTTCACATGTACCAGTAATTTTTACCAGTTTACTCTTGAAGGATTAGATTTTTGGAGGTTTGAAATAAATTCTATCCACCTGGAGGTTTTCGAAATTAAATAGAGTTATATACTCCTCAATTGTTAGTGTCAAATCTTGTATGTTGAAAGTGAAACAGCTGTACGCAGGGTTCCCGAATCAGACCAGAGCCTTAAGCAATGGTTCCTTTATCTTTACATAAAGGAGCTGAGCTATGTCACCATATTTCTTGTGAAATTTCTCCTTTGTTACTACTCTTCAAATCTCTCAAATCTCTATCAGCTCTTATAGATCATTCCTCTTGAGATTGATATATGTGGACATCTGTGATACGTAATCCCCAGGTAAATTGTCTCCTTTCGCCCTTTGTGTTTCTTCAGACTAAGCTTGAACTGCCGGATTAGGTTCTTTCTTGCTATGAAAACTCTTTTCCATTTCAATGACCGCTCTTCTAATCTGATGATTACTTGGTTAATCAACACCTTTCTTTTATTCATGATGACTATGCAAATGCAGATGCAAAAATGATGCAATGCAAAGAAGGACGAAAAATAACACACATAAAAGAAAAGAAATGAATTAGTATGGGCGAAATAATCAATAAAATTAAAAGATGCTATAACACCTACCAAATCATGATATCTACATGATCATGCTTTTATTAGATAACGATCCTACCCAAACATGCTTTCTACCCAAAATAACTATTTTCAATGAAATGATCTTAACTGCATGGTATCTAGTTGGCATGCTTTTGTTCAACAAAATTTAAAGCAAAAAGAAAGGTTTTGAAACGCTTCTCCTTTGTGTATACTTAATTTGGGTATATATAGTGACTATTCTAAGGCTCACTATATGCATGGTTTCGGCTATAACGGAAAAAAGGTACTCGAATTGTCCTTAATGTTGGTGCCCTATTGGGCTACCAAACCCTCAATCTTGGCCCATTACAGGCTTGTGTGGATCGAGTTCAATTTGAGAGGATACATTCCCTTATGTCCATGCGGAGAAACAATTTATCTCACGTAGTCATAAGGTATATGAACCCTAAAGATTACTTACTAAAACCCATGCGGAGAAACAAATTATCTCACGTAGGTTAAGCTTTCATCTCAACTTAAAAGGGACGAAACTCATAAGTGAACTTATGTTATGTAAATGTACGTGTTGTGTGTGAGGAGAAACTCACCTTTAAAACAGAACATAAAACAAAATTTTTACAAGCTCCAAAAACCTGTTCAATTCTGAATACCAATAAAATCAAAAGTCAATTAGTTAAAAATAATGCATGATATGTTGAAAATCAAAAATAAATAAAAAGATCGTAACTGAAATACAATTTAAGTTTGTAATTCACAAATATAAAAACAACGTATAATCGTTAATGGCCTGACTCTCAAAGTCTCCAGTGGAGTCGCCAAGCTGTCATAACCATTTTTTTAAAACAATTCTTTTATCGTTTTAAAAACAATTACGATTTTATTTTTGGAAAATTTGATGATTTTGGATTAATTTGAACTAAATTGAAAAAAGTCGACATCAACCTTTGGTTTAGGTAGATCGAACACCTAAAAACGTCTTTTAAAAACAATTTTAAGAAAAATCATTTTTAAGACAAAAGTTGGTCTGCGTTTACCAAAAGTTCGATTAAAACGGGTTCGGGAGTCGGTTACGTGTAGGGAAGGATTAGCACCCTACAGCGCCCAAAATTAGTACCTAAACGATTATACAATATTGAGAATTATAAACTCAACAATATATTTAAAATACGATCCTTTTATTCATTCGCTTTTATTTAAATAAGTGAGAACAATCGAGAAAGCATTTTCTTTATAGTTAGGAGACTTTCTCATAGATTCTTCTCAAATTGAAATATTATTCTCAAATTTTGCACAGAAAATAAAATAAAAAATGAATATGAACAATGATGAAAAATAAATAAATAAATAAATAAACATGAAACATAGAAAATTATCAAATATAAAACAACCATTTATGTGAAAAATCCTTGAAAAGATACATTCCCTTTAGTTGGGAGATGACCTCGTAGATTTTCCACATAATAAAATTTTCTATTTTCGTATATTAAAAAAATAATGATTATTTATATAAAAAAACAAATCACTGGAGCATGTCCAGAAAAATGAAGAAATATGTGATTCAAAGCTTTTGCTTAAGGCTTTCATTATGATTTCTTTAACTATTAGTTGGGTGTTTTTTTAAAAAGGGATGAGAATTAGAGTCAAAAGCCATGTGCTAATGCCAAAAGTAAAAAAAAACATGGAGCCCATTTGCTTAAATTATATAAATAATGTAGAATACTAGTAGTATGGGGTTTATAAGTCAAACAAATAGCATAAAAAAGTTAAAAAATTATTTGGTTCTTATTATCATATGAGCACGCTTGAAAGTTGCCAATAAAAGAGGAATCAACATCCGAATTAAAAAATACCATACAAATAAAGGGATAACTAAATAAGACTAAAGCATAAAAATTAAAAATTACAGACACAAAATATTAAATATACTACCACCAAGCTTAGTGACAAAAATAAAATAACAGAAAAACAAAGTGCCAAAATTAGAAATAAACAAGAAACATACGTATTAATTACTAAAATAATAAAAAAATAAAATGCCAAAATCTAAAATAAATAAACATGGGATGTCACATATTAGTGATTAAATTAAAAATAATGAATCTAAAGTGTTGAGAATAAAATAAATAAAACACAAAAATTGAAAATAACTGGAATGTAAATAAAAAAAATAAAATACTTAAATTAAAGAAAGGATAGAATGGAAATGTAAGAAGGTAAAATGTTAGGGGTTAAGAGCCAAATATTTTTATGGATTAGAATAATTATTAGTATATTCAGAGGGTTAGTAATGTAAATAAACCAAAATAAATAAAGGATGGTGACAATAACAAATTCACACTTAAATTAAGGTGTCTTAAGTGTAATTAACCCAAAAACTTGATATTTAGGCTAATATTAGCCATTTACACGTAGGTAACTTGGTAGAACCCTAAGTGAGTTTCACTTTTAATTTTGTTTTTCACTTCTGCTCTCCCCTTTTTCAAGCGATACTCCCTCTCTTTTTCTATGCTCGGCCAAGAACGCTATCCGACCACTACCATCGATGGTCGGTTCTATCCTAAGCCTAAAGAACTCCAAAATACCCCTGACAAAGACCTAAAGCCTTGACTTGGAAACAAAACGTTTAGGAACCAAGACCCAAACTTCCACCGTCGTTTTAGCCCCCTAAACACGATGAAGCCTCCGGCTTTGACAAGGAACGTGAACGACGAAAGGCAACCTCTCCTCTTTCACTCATTTCCTCTATTTTTTTAAAAAACTCACATGTACACACAAAAATAAATCTAATCTTTTTATTATTTCAAAAACGAAGGTAAATAATACTTGCATGTAAAATACTTTGGAGAGAAAAAAGAGTTTTTGAATCTGAAAATTTTATTTTCTCTGTATATTGATAATTTTCAGATGATTACAAACTTTTTCGATTTTTTTTTCTCTATTTTTTTCTGTTTCAATTTCTTTCTCCAAATCTCTTCTCTCCTTTTGCTCTCTATTTTTCTTCGATTTTATTGTTGAAATCTTCACCGAATCTCCTTGGATGCATCTGTATTTTATTTGCATTTAGTAAGATCATGATAGGTTTAGGTATGATTTATGTATTTGTTTTTGACTTTGATACAATTTGTTTTGTTGTTTGGTTGGCCGACATAATTGATGATGACATTTTAACTTGGTCGGAGGTGATTTGCCTTGGTGACTCAGAGAGGTTTGGTACTGTTGCTGATATGGGTCTGTTGAGTTGCTGGATTTTGGGACTGGGCCTTTGGATAACTCTTTGTAACTTGGGCCTGAAAAAATGTAATTAATTAGTAATAAGATTAATAAAAATAATAATATAGATAATAAAATACTAATATAATTAATAATGTTTTTTCGAGACCCGGACAAAAATAGAAACTACCTGGATGTTGAGAAAGATCAGCCCCTGGTATTACCAACTCAGCAACAGAAACATTGTAATCGGGTATAAATACCTGCAGATATAGTTAATGGCTTAGGAAGACAGATTAACTATTAGAAGACAGGTATACAGGTCCTTGCAGTTTAATTCATCATCAAGGTTGCTAATTATTTCTGTTCAAGGGTAATTATTCACCCTTCTGAGTAAGTAATACACATTTCAGACTTCCATTCAACAAACATTTCAGGAAAAAGAAATACTGGCTTACCAACTTTAAAAGATCTCCAATATCTTTATCATTGTTGATCTTTTCAGCTACAAGATGACAGAGTTTAATAATCTTCTTTGCCATTTCATAACCTGGAGCAGCTTTTCCTCCAAGTATGCAGACCCGTGGTACAACTTTTTTCCTATCATTCTTGTCCATATGCTGCAACAAAATGAGAATGGCATTAGTATGATACCTCTGATTCATTCTTTTAACTTGTGTTAAAATGTTCGAAAGTATATACAACTTTTATAACCTACATCTTTATGCAAACACAAATGACTATGATTAAGGAAATGGTTAATCAGACTCATATCTGGCAGATTCGATACGTATGAAATCAGAATAAGGAATCGTTGATCTTGCAAACATGAAGCCACAAGATGGTAAAAACTTAAAACCCAAGGACAATTCAACAAGGAACTTATAAAAGCATCATTTTTATGTACACATAAGCCAAAGATGGTGTTTAACCTTAAAGCATTCATATCTATGGATAATGCCAAATATATTAAGCAACTGCCGCTTATATTCATGCACCCGCTTTGTCTGCACATCAAACATTGCATCCAAGCTGACCTGCCCATTACCGATAATACACAATCCAAAGTTAGACCATTACAGAGGTACTTAAAGACATGAAAAAGAAATTTAGGGGCAGACTATAGCTTTCTTCACAACCTTCAAAACACTCATTGCTTCAATGTACTCGGTAACCCTTATTTTGTTGACCTTCTTAACCTATGACATAATAGTTAACATTAAACGATTGGTTAAGTCAATGATGTGTTCTGTTTCCAAAGCTGAAGAATGCTAACTAAGAAAGTACCATCTTCCATTCTTGATGCAGTTCAGCATCAGTTGCACGGTCTCTCAAGCCTATTAAAAGGTCAATATCACGGATCCAAGCTTCTGTTCCAAGCCATTTTGATATAAGAACACATAAACTAGGATTGCTGACAACTATCCAGCGACGCTGAGAAATCAAATGTTAACAGATCAAAATGACTACACAGCAGATGAATTTAAATTATTCATGTACTTTTAGTTGTAAGGGCAAGATGCACCACAGAATCAAAGCAACAATTCTAGAATTTAATTATGGTAGGCAAGCAACTTGGCCCATCAATCGCTTAAATACTGAAGACTGCACTTAATTTAACCTGGGTCACTCCATTTGTCTTGTAGTGAAACTTGTACGGCCACAGCTCATAGAAATCCTGCAAAGATTTAACAGAAAACAATTAGACCAACTAATTAAAGAGGTTCTTTGAAGCTGAGTTCTATTTCGAACTTATTACAAGCCAAGGAAAGGCAATGTTTAAGCAGGTAAGAACAAATTTAAGTTTTACCTTGAATAATTTTGTTCTCAACAACTCGGAATGAAATCTGGAGACACCATTCACAGTATGAGAACAAATAATTGATAGGTTTGCCATCCGAATATTCTGAAAAAAAGGGATGGTTTTGAAGTTCGATTTTCATACATTCTAGCAATCCACCAACAAAACAGAAATTAAATCTATAAAATTTGAGATATACCTTCACAGCACCTTCCTCAACAATTGACATCCTGGCCAGCCGATCATAATCTAAACCAATCATCTTCTTTAACTCTTCCACAAATTGGAAGTTTATGTCATATATAATCTGAAAATAGCTATTTTGTAAAACGGTAGAAACAATTTGACATCCAGTCAAATTAAATATATTACAATCTAAATAAGTGGATAATACAGGAAATGTTGTGTTGAAAATAACAACCACATGCATGCTTCTGTACATTGGATGCATGATGTCATAATTAAGAAAATTATTAAGTTGAAGTTATAGATGAAAGAATATTTTAACGAAGCTTGTCCCTTAGAACTAATTAGGCTTTCAATCACATAAAGTTTTTCAACGAAACAGGCTAGTTTTAATTAACCAGAAGTACATTGCAAAATTCAAACAAAATAACCTGCAAATGTCGAGGGAGAAGACTGCCCAGTAGGTCCACAGGAATTTTCTCCAGTGCTTCAGGTGATATGGAATGAGTTGTGAATGAAAATATTTTGCATATGATGTCCCATGCTCTTTTCCAGCCTAAATGCTCTTCATCCAAAAGCACTCTCATTACCTCAGCTATTGCGAGAGATGGATGAGTGTCATTCAGCTGCAGTGCAACCTATATAAAGTGCAATTGAAGTTGACAGAAAAGGAGTCAAGCATCAGTGCAGCACTTGACTAAGGATGATTATTGAAGTGGAAAGAAAAATCTTCTCAGTATATAGAAAGCTTCCACACTCAACTCTCAGTAGTTCCATCATCTCAAAGCACAACCATTTATTAAGTATATGACATTGAGAACCTATGTAAACCTTGAGAACAGCAACATTAGTCAATATTCAGGAGGGTATAACTGGACCATGTCATCTCACCACATGATCAGACCAGTACAGAAGTACCAACTAATCCTATTTGAGGTGTTCCTACATATGCTTATGCACTAATAGATACATGAAACATGCAGGTAAGAACCTTCTCTGGAAGCTGATCAAAATTTCTATGAGCATCTTTGAATCTTCTGATGATGTCTTGTACTGATGCAGAGACAAAGAAATATTGCTGTTTCAACCGCAATTCTTTACCCTGAAAGAAGCCACCACAGAACAGTATGAATGTAGCTCTACATAAAGACGATAAAGAAACATATTCAGTCAACCACTCAACCCCTTGCAGACATTTCAACCAAGTTTTCAATGAAAGCAACATGAATCATCTCCAACTAAGTACCTCTAATTTCCCATAATTCAAACAATTGCAGTAAAAGCTTTAGAAGATGTGGCATGGAAAGTTTGATAGATAAGACAGAATCTAATCTTGATGTAACTGATAAATTTATGCAAAAGCAAGCAAACCTGATAAGAACGATCATCGGGGTATAGTATGCTACTAATACTTCTGCTCTCTGTCTATTGACCACAGCATCAACATAATCCCCAGTATTATAAGACTCCTGCAGCCATGCTCCAAATCCGAGGATTTAAGACATAAGAAGGCCACATACAAGAATCCGTAAGCATATATGGGAATGAAAATCATACAAAACTATAAATCAGAAATCTTAATAATTTCCAGAACAACCCCTTACAAAATTGAAGTCTCCAAAACTAAAAGACAAAATATCTGAAATATACAAAATTTTTAACCAACAATTTTTTCTAGAACTGTAATCAAATACCCACGTCAAAGACTATAAAAGAAAGAGGATGGATGCTAAAATCTTACTGACATAAGCAAGAGGTCTCTCCAAAAACTAATTCTCCGATATGGAAATAGTGAAATCTAGAACAGTAGAGAAAATAAAACAATAAGTAAACTGAATCAGCAAATAACTGATATCACTTCAGTTGGATTGAGCATGATTCGAAGCACTTGAGCCAAAACAATCAGGATAAAAAAGGAATAACACCCCCCCCCCCGGCTTACTGAGCAGAGCTTAATGGCCAGGGTATAGAAGAGAATTCAAACAGGAAAAACCACGTAATTGCGCATATGAATACGTTTTAAGCAACTTATAAGTCATTTCCAGTAAACCTAAAGCAACAGAAATATAATTTTATGTGCCATATATTCATAGTTTACGTAATCCCATATAAATGGAAGCAAACATAGACATAGAATTCATGCTTACAACAACTAATTGGACTTTTTCGACACTACCATATTATGTTGATCACTTGGTTTGGCAGCCCAAAGACGAAGAACAATGGTATTCCTTGTTCCATAACCAGGTATTGGATTGTCATATTCCACAGCTTCAACCTACCACCATGAAGACATATTGCTAAGCTAAAAAAATACCGACACATTCCCTTAACCAAAAGAATACCATTGAGCACTGATTTAAACTATCCATCGCCCATAAGTACAACCAAAAGATAAAGAATTTTATGCAAAAGTGTAGGCTTCAATTTATGAAAAGAATTACTGCCTTACCATTTCTCCAGGAATCCAAACTTTAATTTTATCCTTATTCAAAACTTCGTCTGTGACAGTCCCATAGAACTTTTCCATCCAAAAACATAGTGGAAAGAAGTTTAGAAAACAAAACAGAAAAGGATCATAAAGATAATGTCAAACTTCCAATACTACTACAGATAATTAAAAACATCTGAGTATGTACAAACCTTTACGCAATAAGTTATATGAACCCGCTCTATCTCCCAAGGGTTTCCAAAATTCAACCAGTAATCAGGTTGTTCATGTTGAAAGCCATCCAATATGACTTGACGGAACAACCCATACTGGTAGCGTAATCCACAGCTGTAAAAAGAAGATGCACAATTCCCTAGAGTTAGCTTATGGTAAAAGCAAATACTCATTTGAGGGTATACAAGTCATACTCATGTGATGCAAGAATTCCTTAACTGATCTTGGAAAAGGAAAATTAGCATAGATTATTGTAAAAGCTAATACTAGTTGGAAGATATGTTATTCAGTTTCACAGCCCATAAACCATTTTAGTTTCGAATCCGGTATGGATAATTATTCAGTACAGATTACTTAATGGAAGGGCTCAGATGTATTACTTTTAACTTGAAATAAATCCAAAAATCTTACAAGAAAATATAGAATAAAGGCATACCCTATAGCAGGATAGTCCAAAGTTGCTAGGGAATCCATTTGGCATGCTGAAAGACGAGCAAGGCCTCCATTACCCAGGCAAGCATGTCCTTCCCTAGAATGTCATAATTAATAAGCTATAGTGTAAATGCAAAATTGTCTGAGTATACAAATATATATACACACCAATTTAAGAAAAAACTCCTTCCTACATGATTAGGAATTTACTTTTAGGTCACTCATTAAAACCGACAAATATTTCACTTGCTTCTTTCTATATATCTTCATATGATCATATCCAAGTGTCGGACATGGGTACTTCATGACAAATAAGTGTCGGATATGGGTACTCCCTAGAATATGGCCACCCATTGGATTCACCTAATTTCAAATCTCCAATTACCACACAACATGATACCTGATATAAATACTAGATGTGTTCAATTCCACTCAATTAAAAAATTACTTTTCCTAATCATGATCCGCTGAGTAATAATAATCTAAGACTAGGATAATAAAGGAGTACAAAAAATCAAATGTCAAGTTAACCTGTTCAGCTAAAACTTCAAACTCAAAACCAAACTGGCTTAAAGCATCTTCAAATTGATCACGAATTCCAAGGTTGATGACACTATTTGACAACGAACGGCCTGAAATTATAAATTGCATGCAAGTTGTTTAGCATGAATTATATTTAAAGCAATGAAGACAATCCAGAATAGGATGCGTATTCAAGAATCCATAACCAAACTTTTAGAGAGCTCTTAAATTTATTGATAATTTTAAATACAATAAAATTATAACGCTCATAGGTAGGAAATATACCCATAAGAAACTCAAATGAAAGAAAGTATAGTCGTTTCGGGTTTTTCCTATAGAAATTGTTGACGAAAACGGGTAAAGAAAACGAAAGAACACGAGAATTTTACGAGGTTCGGCAATGTGCTTACATCCTCGGTGCCTAGGCGGCGCTAGAATTTTATTCAATGATATTTTAGGTCTAGGTTACATCTCTATTTATAATAGAAAACCCTGGTACATAATTACAAAATCAACCCTGTACCGTACCGCAGGGGCTACGCCCCCGCACCCCCAACCCACATAATTTGTAACCCCACAACGAGACTTTCTTTGTAAGGACAGTTGATGTTCGCTTCGCTCACTCCGCTCCATCTCCTGTCCTCTTTACTGGTATATTTATGAGCCATACCTAACAAATCTCCACCTTGGCGAATATCCTGCCCCTTGGAAACTTCAATGTGGGTTGGGTTACCTTGTTTCTTTAACAACTCGAAACATTCAACAAGTCCAAGCAATGCTTGAACTTGTCTGTCGTAACTGGCTTGGTGAACATATCAGCGGCATTCTCATCAGTATGTACCTTCTGAAACAAAACCTCTCCAGATGCAACCAACTCTCTGATCTTGTGGAACCTTACATCAATATGTTTAGTTCTAGCACGATACACCTGATTATTAAGCCAAGTGAATAGCACTTTGATTATCACAAAGCAAGTGAACTCCACCTTGTTGAACACCCAACTCCTTCACTAAACCAGTAAGCCATAAAGCTTCTTTTGCAGCTTCAGCCGCTGCCATGTATTAAGCTTCAGTTGTAGATAGTGCCACGACAGATTGAACAGTAGACTTCCAGCATATAGGCCCTCCACCAAGAGTAAACACATACCCTGTCGTAGATCTTCTATTATCCAAGTCACCTGCATAATCTGAATCCACATATCCTACAACCAAAGGATTATCCCGCTGACTCCCAAAAACAATTCCATGTCCCACAATACCCTTTAAGTACCGAAAGATCCACATGACTGCATCCCAATGTTGCTTACCAGGTTTAGACATGTACTTACAAACTTGACTAACAGCATGAGCTAAATCAGGACGAGTACATACCATCGCATACATCAAGCAGCCAACAGCATTAGAATACGGAACCTTTGTCATATTTTCAGCTTCCTTATCTGTCTTAGGGAACTGTTCTGATAAGAGCTTAAAGTGATTCGCCAATGGAGTGCTAACTGGTTTCGCGCTGCTCATCGCAAACCTTTCTAGCATTTTCTCAACATAACCCCGTTGAGATAGCCGCAGTTTCCTTGAGTCTCTGTCCCTGCAAATTTCCATTCCAAGAATTTTCTTTGCAGCACCTAAATCTTTCATATCAAATTCCTGACTCAATAAAGTTTTCAAACCGATAACATCATCCATGTTCTTCGCATCAATCAACATATCATCAATATACAGTAATAGAAAAATAAAAGAACCATCATCAAGGCTCTTAACATAGACACAACAATCATACTCACATCGGTTGTAGCCAATCTTGATCATATAGGAGTCAAACCGTTTATACCACTGTCTCGGAGACTGTTTTAACCCGTACAAAGATTTCTTCAATCTGCAAACTAAATGCTCGTTTCCAGGTTGAGTGAAACCTTCAGGTTGCCGCATGTAGATATGCTCCTCTAAATCACCATGCAAAAAAGCAGTTTTAACATCCATCTGCTCTAAATGCAAATCACAACTAGCCACCAATGCAAGTACTGCTCGGATTAAAGTGTGCCTGACCACAGGAGAAAAGATTTCATCATAATCAACTCCTTTCTGCTGTGAAAAACCCTTCGCTACCAAACGAGCCTTGAACTTCTCCCCCTCTTTTTCTGTTACTGCTGGTTTCTTCTTATACACCCATTTGCAACCAATCGGCTTCTTACCCTCAGGAAGGGGAACTAACTCCCATGTGCGATTGTGATTCAAAGACCCCATCTCCTCAACCATGGCTGCCATCCACTTGTCGTTTTCCTGACTAGTAACGGCATCATGAAAAGTAACTGGATCATCACTGCTAACAGTAAGTGCAAAAGATACCAAGTCTTCAAAACCCAATCTGTTCGGAGGCTTTATATTCGTCCGTCTCACCCTGTCTCTGGCGAGACTATAATCCTGCAAATCATCCGTAGTGGAACCACCAGAAGTCGGTTGAGAAGTTTCTGGTTTCTCAACTGGAAACTGCTCGAAATCTACCACTGTCGTGTCTTGCTTCTGCTGCAACATAGACTGTTCATCAAAAACGACATCTCTACTAATCACAACTTTCTTCGCAACTGGATCCCAGAACTTGAATCCTTTGACACCTTTCTTATAACCCAGAAAAATGCACTCCTTCGATTTTGCATCAAGTTTGGATCTCTCATCAGCAGGTACATGCACATAAGCAGGACAACCAAAAATCCGTAAGTTATCAAAACTAACATCATGACCAGTCCATACCTCTTCTACAACTTTTCCAGTCAGCGATGCCCTTGGCGATCTGTTGATAAGGTAACACGCCATGTTAACAGCCTCAGCCCAGAAGTGTTTGGGAAGCCCCGCATTCAACCGCAAACATCTGGCTCTTTCATTCAACGACCTGTTCATTCGTTCCGCAACACCATTCTGTTGTGGTGTCTTGCGCACTGTAAAATGCCTCTGAATCCCATGCTCCTTACAGAATTGTAGGAACTGTGAATCTGTGTACTCCGTACCATTGTCAGACCGCAAACACTTGATTTTTCGTCCTGTTTGGTTTTCTACCTCAGCTTTCCACAGCTTGAACTTCTCAAAAACTTCATATTTCTGTTTCAAAAAATACACCCAAACTTTCCGTGAAAAATCATCAATAAAAGTAACATAGTACCTAGATCCACCCAAAGACGATGTCGTGGAAGACCCCCATACATCAGAATGCACATAATCAAGAATCCCTTGAGTTGTGTGCTTCGCAGTCTTGAAACGGACTTTAGTCTGTTTACCAAGAACACAATACTTGCAAAAATCGAGCTTACAGCTTTTGACACCATGCAACAAGTTTCTCTTGTGTAATTCTGCCATACCACGTTCACTAAGATGAGCAAGGCGCATATGCCACAATTTTGTCGTATGATCACAGGACTCAACAGAGTGAACTCCACCTGCAACGGTACTCCCTAACAATCTGTAGATATTCCCTGCAGTCATCTTGCCTTTCATCACAGTCAATGCTCCTTTAACAATCCGAATGGTTTCCCTATCCTCGTCAGCCTTAGGGATAAAACCATTCTTGTGCAAAGTGCCCAAGGAAATCAAATTCTTCTTTAAGTCTGGGATATGTCGAACACCACTCAACGTCCGAACGGAGCCATCGTGCATCTTAATTCTGACATCACCAATACCAACAATATTGCAACATCGATCATCACCCAAATAAACCGAACCAGAATTAATCGGCCTGTATGTCGAAAACCATTCCCTATTTGGCGTGATGTGATAAGAACATCCAGAATCAAGAATCCAAGCATCCATCAATTGTGTCGTTGAAATAGAAAGCATATCACCCTCACTGCAATCAGAAGTATCATCCTCGACCACGTTCACAGACTTGGATGAGCCATCACGCTTCTCATCAGTCTGCTTTTTCAACTTTGGACAGTCTCGCTTCATATGTCCCGCCTCCTTGCACTTGTAACAGTGAATCGTCTTCTTATCCCTGGATTTGGATCTGGAATTCCGCTTCCCGGACCCTGCCTTCTCTGGCTTCCGTCCACGATCTCGATTACCCTTGACATATAAGCTATCGGCTTGAGAGCTTTCCCCTGCATTCTGCTTCTGCTGGTTGTGAGCCAACAAGGCTGCAGTAATCTCCTCAACGTTGATAGTCTCTTTCCCATATGTAAGAGTAGTCACCATGTGTTCGTAAGAAGAAGGCAACGAACATAACAGAATCATCGCTCTGTCTTCATCCTCAATTTTCACATCAAGCCGAGCCAGATCAGAAACGATTTGATTGAAGACATTCACGTGTTGCGCCAAATCGTGATCGTCCTGCATCTTCAGCCCATACAGCCGCTGCTTCAGATACAGTTTTGTCGTTAAGGATTTGGAAATAAACTGACTTTCCAACTTCCTCCAAATTTCGTCTGGAGACGATAGATGCATGACGTGATACATGACCTCGTCCGCCAAGCATAATCGTATGGTTCCTGCCGCTCGCTGCTGCAATTCTTCCCAATCTTCCTCATCCATCGACGCCGGCTTTATAGGTCGCAAAGCCTTCAAGATCCCTTGCTGCGCCAATAGATCCTTCACCCTCGTTTGCCATAATCCGAAGTTACCCTGACCATCGAATTTCGCGACTTCGAATTTTGCTCCTGACATCTGATACCAATTGTTGACGAAAACGGGTAAAGAAAACGAAAGAACACGAGAATTTTACGAGGTTCGGCAATGTGCTTACGTCCTCGGTGCCTAGGCGACGCTAGAATTTTATTCAATGATATTTTAGGTCTAGGTTACATCTCTATTTATAATAGAAAACCCTGGTACATAATTACAAAATCAACCATGTACCGTACCGCGGGGGCTACGCCCCCGCACCCCCAACCCACATAATTTGTAACCCCACAACGAGACTTTCTTTGTAAGGACAGTTGATGTTCGCTTCGCTCACTCCATCTCCTGTCCTCTTTACTGGTATATTTATGAGCCATACCTAACAGAAATGTATCTGAGTATCACACTCGAGTGACGAGTTTCATAAAGTATATTAAAAAATTGAAATTCGTCACGAGGCATGACAAGTTCCATACAATTTTGTTTCATATAAAGTGATGAGTTTTAATTTTTAATATATTTTATGAAACTCGTCATGTGGACGTAACGAGTCTACGAATACTGTAACAAATATCGTAGATCCCAAAATATTTTTTGAACCGTTCTATTAGACTAAATAATTTGTCTGCTTAGATTATTGGGTCGATTTTGCCAATACGTTAACAAATTTTATTTTAAAATTTAATTT